TGACATTGATCCCTAATATCTTTGCATGGGAAAATAGGGCTGGATTAGGGAAGGATTATTATATGCCTTTTAAAACACTGAATATATAGCAGGGCATTTGCAACCTTACTCTTAATTCACCTAGGGTGGAATGTAATATGTTTTGACTGGACACCAAATAAACAGAGTGAGGAAAGAATAGTTCTTCCAAATGCTCTAGAAATGTAAATAGTATGGATGACAAGCTCTGATTGGGAGTTTGGGCTGAAATATAGCCTGATCAGCCACAGAACTGCTCAGTGGGAAGACTAGGTTCTTAGTAGCGTTGTACTCATGCCCATGCTCTTCTGATTTCAAACTGCTCTGTATTCAATCACCAATATCGCTTCCTTTAACATTTTAGGATTTCTTTAGAGATCTCTCATTCCATATGCTATTTGATCCAGGTCTGGTTATAACAAGATATTCTATGATTATACTCTAAAATGGTTCTAGGTAAAAAGAAAAAAGTGTGCCAAGCATTGTGGCTCACACCTATAATTTCAGCACTTGGGAGGCTGAGGCAGGAAGATTGCCATGAATTCTGGGCCAGGCTGAGCTACAAAGTTAATTCTAGTCTTGGCTGGCTACAGAGTAAGACTGTCTCTATAAGCCCCCAAAAGACAAAAACTCATTTATAAATATTGTATAATTACACAATGTCCAATAGCAAGTGAGACTGTTTCTAAAGAAAATGTTTAAAAGAATCACTGCTTTCTAGATAGTGTTTTAGGCATATTTATTTAATTTAAAAGAAATATGAAAAATAAGAAGAAACAATATGAGATTTATTTTGGAAATATGAAGTTTCATTTATCTCACCTTTATGAATTTTTAACTACACTTAAATTAGCAGAAAGAAGACCAAATATCCAACTTACCTAGAGAATTGAGTCTATAGTAACAAGACTATTAATTAGAACCATCTAAGATTACTAGTTTGGATATAACCTTTGAGTGAAGGTTAGCAGCTGGATTTCATATATATATATATATATGAAGCTTTCATACTTTAAAATGAAGAGTCCATCCTTCTGAAAATAACATTTGTTTTACAACTCTATGATAGAAAAAGAATAGAAACACAGTACAGCAATCAAAAGTTTCACTTTTAAATGCTTATTGGATCTATCGACTTCAAGTTGCTTTGTTTAGTGTAGTCTAATTATTCTATGCATGATTTACATACACTGAAATATTTAAATGTATTGATTAATGCAAATATCACTTGATCCATGTGAACTCCTAGGTGTCTTAAAGTCTTATTATTCAGGTAAATAACTTCCTTCTTTTTAATAATATATTACATCAAGATAATTTACTAACAACAGACCGAAGTTGCAAAAACTGCAAAACGTTAAGTACAAAGGAGGGAGAAATAAAACAAGATGTAAAAGAATACACCTGCTGAAAATCAAAATGAAACAAGTTACTTCGTAGATTTTAATTTCTTTTAACACGTCTGCATTGAACTAATTTATAAAGTTTTCGTATTCTACTCTATAGTAGAATCAAGAAATGAAATTGATTCCCATTGTATATTTAGGGAAATAGAAGAAATCAGGTGACTTGCTTTGGAACCTAACATATTGCTGGAATGAGACCTAGTAATAGTAATATAAAGCTTCCTCCACGTTACAAGTCAGTAACTTGTAAGCTAGTTATCTAGTTAACTAGTTATCAAATTGGAGGCCAGTCTTATTAGAAATGAGGTACCTGATATTTATACTATTACTATGATTATTTTACCCATTAATCTTTGTTACTTAATTTTTTGTTATGATTGTTTTTATTATCCCCATTGAATAATTATGGAAACATAATTTATACAGCAAATGTCTTCTTGAAAACTATTTATGAAATACTATGATCGTTTAGGTCTTAACTAATGATGAGAAAGCCAGGTGTGGAGGATCAGACGGTCAAAGTAAGCCTTGGTTGCCCAGCAAATTCAAGGCTGTTCTGTTCTACATGAAAGCCTGCCTCCCAAACACCTAAGCCTCAAAGTCTCCAAAAACTAATGGAAGCAGCATTTTATAAATTAAATAATAAAACAATTATTGTTCATTTTAGGAGATATATTTATGTGAAATTTGGGGTGGGGACCAAGAGTGGAAAATGAAATGTATGTCATGAAAGAAGAAAGATAAACTATTTGTGATGAGGAAGAGGACTTGGAAGATCTGGGAGCAAATAAGAAGAGTACAAATATAAATATATACATATGTGTTTACACATATATAATATACTTGCATTTACATACATATGTGAAAATGTTACAGTGAAATCTCAATTTTGTGTGCTAATTAAAAAATTATTTTAAAATTTGTCTATGTATATGCTGGGGATTGAATCTAGATCTTCAAATGCTAACCATCTATTTTACTACTGGGTTCCACTCTAGCCCAAAAATAAGGTTCAAAATGCAAACGAGAATTTATGTGACTCTTTCACTGCCCTATATTTTGTGAGCATATATAGCAATACTTTAAATGGTTTGAAATTCCTATTTTTAGTATCTTTATGGTTCTCACTAATTTGCAATCCCAAGAAAAAATTAAAAAGTAAAACATTTCTCTTCACATCGTATGTATTCTCAGGAAATGACAAGGAAACAAATGTGAGCTTGGTCTACTTTAATCTTTTCTAGCTCCTTTATGACATGTAATGACTAAAATATGATGCAAAATTCTGCAATTTAACTCTAATAATTCATCTAATAGATTTTTGCATCTATACTAGATACCAAATAGTACTGGAGGCCGTTCTCATTTCAACAGGGTGCCTGTGATCATGAGAATGCTCTTCACCTCTTCTGTCTAATATGTTGCTACGACATCCTAAAAATGGGGCTAGTCTAAGGAACAGAATTTTAGAAATTAACAGTAGCCATATGATATTTTCAAGGCTTGCATTTTAAGGGGGAGTGAAGAAAGAAGAAATTGGGAAGATAATTAAAGTCGTCCTGAATAGTCAGAGCAGTGAAATGAAGGGCATAAGTAAGTACTCTTCTATAATAAAAAGGAGAACCCTGGGGCCAGAAAGGATAGTGAGGTGCCTCTTCAGAATATGAGTAGTCCTGGAAAAAGCTGTCTGCTGAAATAGCACTTCATCTGATACAAATGGTCAGAAGACATCTATGTAGAGAACTGGAAGCTGAGTGTGATAGAATAACCTGGAATCCAACATTTAGAAGACTAAAACTCAGGGATCATTAGTTTCAAGGTCTGCCTGGGCTATGTGGCCAAACCTCTCTTGACTGACTAAAAAGGACTAGGGATGGGCTCAGTGTAGACAACCTAGCATGGATGCAACCCTCTGTTTGATTTGTGGGGTCAATTGCTAGAAGAATGCTACCTGAGGGACGAGCAAATGTGCTAGTGAGGGACCAAGTTGAGAAGGGGAGAGAGAGAGAGAGAGAGAGAGAGAGAGAGAGAGAGAGAGAAACTAACAAACAATGTGACTGCTGCCTTCCTTGCAAAGCAGGGGAGGCTACAGAAGCCTGCGAGGGCTCCATCAGCAAGTCTGGGGTTAAAAGAGATGGAAAACGCTGCTGTGGCCTTTTAAGCAAAATAATAACAGCCTGAAGTCAAAATAGTGTGATGCTGTGTCTTTAAAAGCCACGTCTGAATTCTTTCTGGGAAATAAATTCTAGCAGAGAAAGATGGAGGCAGAATCACCAAGTGAGGCGCTGGCTGTTATCTAGGGTGGCAGCCATAAAGAAGGGGACATGGAGAGAATGCCCAGTGTATCTCAGAGCTAAAACCAACAAGCTTGGTGATAGAATCAGGACAATGAAATGGTT